CTAAACGATCCACAGGCTCCCTTTCATCACTAGCAGTCGGTTTTCATGGCTGGGGGTACAGGAAGGAAAGAAAAATCACTTTTTTCCTGACTTTAAGCTAATCAACAGAACTCTGGGCCAGGCAGCCAATATGTTGCCGTTGAGAAAAGTTGTTCTCAAGCAGAACTAATTGGCAACAGAAACAGAACCTCCCAAAATGTACAAATGGGCTTTAGCCAGCAAAGCAGCCTCCGCTCTGGATAGGTGTTCTGGACACACTATGTGCAACTGCCCCTGTGGCTGGTGGTCTCGGCTCGATGAGGCCAAGGGCAGCCTGTGCTGGTTACAGCTCAATCAGCCTGGCCTCTTTTGCAATGAGCTGGCCGTGAAGGTCAGCGACCAAACTGGATATTTGCCTGGAGTAGACATTTGCTTTCCCTTGTTTGGCTTCAGGATGCCCCCAACACATCCAGGGCTCTCCCAGGAGCCAGCTGGCCTTGTCACCTTGGCAATGGCGAAGGAAAGCATTTAGGGAGTGCCTACTGTGTGCTAATAAGCACTGCCTGAAGACCTACTGTGGCGCACAGCAGGGAGCATGGCAGGCAACAATGAAACAAAGTCACCTTCTGGAAAGGGACATGGAGGAAAGGAAAAATATGCTCCATGTTAGGTGGCCATGAGTAGAGAAATCCAGAAAGGGGGAGAGGGAAGCCAGGGGTGCAAGACGCAGGGCTGTCATTTTTAACAGGGGTCAGAGAGGCCTCCCTGAGGAGGTGATGGTGGTATTTGTTAGCAGGGGTCTGGCCACGTTGCCCAAGCCCATCTCAAATGTGAGCTCAAGTGACCCTCCTGCCTCAGCCTCTTGAGTAGCTGGGATTAGAAGTACGCACCATCGTGCCAAGGTTTTGGTTTTGCTTTTGGTTTTCCTTTTACTTAGTGCCGACGCCTCATGTATGCTGGGCAAGCACCTTGCAACTGAGCCACATCCCCAGCCCAACTCCACTTGTGAAAATCAAAGTTACCAAAAGACAAAAATGAAGGGGCCAGGGGAAGGACCAAAGAGTACACACTTGGCTTTGAGTGGGGCTCCCCTGGGTGGGTGCCAGGGCCAAACCACACAACACACCCATTTGTCGTCCTTTGAGAACTGCTGCAACACCAGTCCCCTCCTGTGTCACTGTCACATTCTTTGGGCTAAGGTCCCTCCCAGCCTCCTCCTTGGCCAGTGATCACAGAGGTGGAACTTGGGAATCAGAAACATTTTCCTCTAGTGCTCCCAGGCCAGGCGCAGGCCGGGAGAACTGGAACTGGCCCACCTGGCTCAGAAGGCTTCTAAAAATAGAAAGTTGTTTCAACTTCCCCACAGGTTTGGCCTCTCTGGTCCTTTAACGTATTCCAAGATGCCGTTTCCATTAGAGCATCATTCTGTGCACAGCAAAATAAGAAACGGCGGGAGCAAGGCCTGGATCAGAACAGAATGGCTGGAGGGCTGCTGCTGCTGCTGCTGGGACCCTGGAAACACCCAGGGATGCAGGGGTGGCGAGTGCAACAGAGGAAGGACACGTTTCAGGGCTTGTGTTGCTGGCTGAGCCTGGATCCCATGTGCCACCAGGGTGGATACTATCTCATGTGCCTGCCCGGCCTCTGTGTGCATCTGGCGCATGGGACCCAAGAGGCATTTTAAGCAAAAGAAGGAGGTGGAAGGAATTGTGCATGAGCCTTCGCAGGGTCTGTCCACAATAGGGCCTCAGAGACCCTGGGCACAAGCAAAGTGCTGAGGAATCAGGGTGCTGGTAAGGGCTCCACAACCAACTCCTCAGGGCAGTATGTGTGTATATGTGCGTGCGCACGTGTGTATGTTCACATATATGCATGTGGGGGTGTGCATATACACATATATGTCTAGCTCATTGTAAAGGGTGTCACTGTAAAGGATGTGAAGCATGCAACTTACCAACAAAAATAAAACGTGCTTCAGTAGGTTACATAGGATCAGTTTATTCACACAGCATGCCTACATTGGGTTTTGCCCCGGCTCCTGCAGCTGGATTCCCCTATCACTACCGCGGATGAAGGGATGTGGCTCTTCAGGAAGACTGACTCCTGCTTTCCTGCGCTTCAAGGTGGGGGTGAGACCAACACGTCAGAACTTGAGCTGTTCACCTTGGCCTTGATCTAGCACCCTGCCCCTTGGTGCGATCCCAGTGCCTCAGCCAGACCCGACACACTTTCGGGTTTCATTGGCCTCATCAGCTTTTTCTCCTGACGTTCTCAAATCCAGAAAATCTACAAAACAACCCATCAAGTCCCAAGCCATAACTCTTGGTCAGTATCCGTCCTGCAAACACCCCTGCCATGGCCGGTTGCAAGTTACCAAGCTGAAATTTCTGAAAACGGAGCTGGGAAGGGTTGAGCAGCAGTGCACTGGTGGACAAGGGAGGTGTAGGTGGCCTTGGGAGCTCTGGCAAAAGCTAAGTGTGGTCTCCTGGGGCTGGGGTGAGGTTGTCGTAGAGCACATGCTTAGCATGTGTGAGAGCCTGCGTTCAAGCCCAGCTCCCAAAATCAAATGCTTTAAAGAGTGGGACACAATAGGGGCCGGGGAGATGGCTCAGTGGAATAAGTGCTTCCCTGGCAAGTGCAAGGGCCTGAGTTCAATCCCCGGTTCTGCCAAAAAAAAAAAAAAGTGGGAAGCTATACACTTTGAGTATTAGTCATGTTTTGAGAAAGTATAATTTCCTTAATTGAAAGTTTATTAAAAATTTAATTAAAAAAAACCCAGCTTACCAAATTCCTAAAAATCTGACAGTCGGCCTTCAATGGTTGCACAAACAGGCGCCAGTGCCAGCACAACACAGTGCCCAGGAACGCATGGCCCAGGATGGAGCCAAGTGGGGAGGAGGCTGCCATCCACACATCTGCCCAGAGCCAGAGCAGTCAGGCAGAAAGAGCAGGCAGCCTGGGAAGCCCCCGTGGATGCTGGTGTGCTCTGGGTGGGCAGCGAGCTTCTCCAAGTTGCTCAGAGAAGGGAGGAACAGCAACTAGGGCAGGAGACCAGATTGTGGGCCTAGATGATGTCCACTTTGGGAGCTCCCCAGAAAGAACTGGGGGACAGGAGAACACACACCAAGCTCCTAAAGATGAGTGTGGGGGCCCTGCAGTCAGCAGCTCCTCTGCATAGAAACCATGATTGAGGTCACCCATGAGGCTCTGCAGGGGCTACAGGGCCCTAGGGCTGTTGCCTCTGACATCAGCGCTGAGGTCACTGATACACAGGCCCTCCACTGTCTCTGCAAGTCTCACCTACCTCCAGTGACCCATAAGCTCTCGCTCGTGAGTGCTCTGGGGACCTCCAGGGGAGATTTTCCTGCTCTCTCAGATTGTCTCTTACTCTCACCCCTGCTCACCTAGTTTGGAGCGGTAGGTGTCCTCCAACCAGAGCCTCAGGAGATCCCACACATTTCCTATGATAATCCTTTTGTTTTACAGATAAGGAAACTGAGTTTGCAAAAAGGGAAGTGACTTGCTCAAGGTCCCAAAATCCAGGTCAGATCTGGGCAGGGTGACCAACCGACCAGCTTCCCAGGACTCCAAAGAGGGGACAGGGGGAGGTCACATCAGCTCCTCACAGGAGCTAGGCCACCCACAACTCAAGTCTCCATTGATCCCTGGGGTGGGGGCTTCCAAGTAAGGTCCAGATAGGAAAGGAGGGCCGTAACCCATGCAGATCTGCTGCAAGGTGGAATTTTCCAAAGGAAGTAGAAGAAGACTTCATATGGGTGTTGGGACCTTCACCTCTGGCCAGATGCCTGACCTCCTAGGGATTTCCCACCTGCTGCATCCCTGCCTTGGACATCCTGGCCCTTGGACATCAACTGCATCCTCCTTCTCAGTGCCAGGGACACAGCTGGCTTTATCTGTGTCTTATCTCCTGGCTGTTGCCAGCCACCGCTGCAGGGGTGTATACGCAAATAGCCTCGAAGGTCTTACTGTGCGACTCCCCCAGGGAAGGCATGAGGAAAGTACTGCATGTGTTTCACAACTCTATTTCGTCCTAAGGAGCTGTGCAGCCCAGGATGATTTGAAACAGATTTTTGAAAAGGCAAAATAAATTTGGAACAAAATCTAGTCGAGGCATGTGCCACTCTCCCCACCCCCAGCTCTCCCCACCCCTGACATTAACCCTCTTCTTTCACACCCCTGGAGCCTCTTACAACATACTGCCAAGCTAGCCCATTGCACCAGGACTCGTCGCGTGGGCCTGGAGCTCCTGGCCCCTCCCAGGGTGCCATGGCCATGCTGGGGTTGGCACACCAGCCCAACAGCTGCAGGCTGCTTGCCGTTTCCAGCCTGTTGCTTCCTCTGTCCTTTCCACTCTTCACCCCCCCCTTTTGCAGGTAATGCCTGTGTGTGCCATCAACTTCTTCTTTCCTGCATCCTGGGACAGTCAGACTCACAGAACAAGGAATGCACATCACTGGGGATGGATGGTTAAGTTCAGCCAAAGTCAGGTCAGAGAGACCTCGGTCCATTCCTCATCTCTGCCCCTGTTGGGCTTTGTGCCCCAAGCAAGCGACATCACTTTTTTGTGGATGTGAGGGAGCAGGGAGCCAGGCCTTGGTATACAATGGGGACAATAATAATACTTAGCCCTCAGGGAGACTCCTGTGGACTCGTGACCTAAAGTTCCCAATATGCCCAGCCTGGTGCCTGGCATATAGCACAGGCACAAGAAACAGCATCAGCTTAACAGCCTTTTAGAGAACATGGTCTTCAACCACCCCATTTAGAGATAGTTGGGCAAAGGGAGGCCCAGAGAGGGAAAGAACATGCCCAACGTCACACAGCAGGACTTTGCAATCCTCAGCTGGAGGATCCCTTCTGCACCTCGGTGGGACCTGGGAAGTGCCGGCCCCTCTCCTCCCCACCTCCCTCTGGAAGCCAGGTTGGCTCCCCAGGAAGCTGCAGGACCTCCCGCGGCCTGCAGCACAACCACACTCAGGGAGGAGCCGCTTCCCACTCACCATCCAGCGGCCCTGGACATCAGGTTTGAGTTCCGCTGCCCTCCACGCTGCCAGGCTTTCCCTATTGCTGCGAGCCAGCGTCAGCTTCCATCCGCGGGACTTCGCGACTCCGTCCACAGCGGCGGCCGGCACCGGCCCTCTGGTCTTCCTTTGGGTGCAGAGGCTCGTGTTCTGCCGGCTCTGATAAAGCCACCCGGGGCCTTATCTGGCAGGAGCTGGCTGTGGGAGCCCGGCTGTGGCGCTGGGGCTCCAGGAAGCCTGCTTGGGGCCCCTGGCCGTCCCGCTCCCCCGGATGCTGTCTGCTTCTCTGGTCGCTGCCGATTGCCTGTCAGTGTCACTCTGCGCTCCGCCCCGGAGAATTCCACGTTGGCCCCCAGCAGGCAGGGCCCCCACCCCACGATGTCCCACCCCCCACTTGCATCCTGGCAGCTAATTTCAAGTCCATGAAGTGTTTGTGGTCGTGTCCTGAACGCTCCACGATTAATCACGGAGCCTCTGATTCCTGCTTTGCCTTCGAGGGGGCGGAGGGGACGCCTGGGGGTTTCTGTTTACCCCATTCTGCACCGCAGGCGTGCTAATCACAAACAGACTGGGACACCCGCCCTCCTCTAGCCTCCTCTCCCCTCCTTCCCTCACTCCTGCTTTCCTCTTTCCCACCGTCCCCCTCTTCCGCTGGATCTGATGTTCCACGCACCCCTCCTCTGGTCCTGGGTTTCCCCGGAGTCCCTTCTCCCGGTGGCGCCTCCCACTTCCCCGCAGTAGTGAAGTCCCTTGGCCTGATCCTTGGACCCTGCATCCACAAAAGTAAAGGTCAGGCTTTTGTGCTACGTGTTCTCAGCTTTTCAACCACAGAATTATCTCAGGGTGCTGGCTGGCCTCGGCTCTCTGCCTGTTACATCGGTGCGTGGGCAGCGCCCGCGACCCACGGGGGTCTCTGTGTCTTGAGGTGGGATCCAGGTCTGGGGTGAGCAGCTTCTCTGCGGCTGTCAGTCTGCACAGGGTCAAACTCACAACAAAACCCCCATTTATTGCTCGGTAGAAGAGGCCTGACCAGCACTGCACCCGGACAAGCAACACTTAACGTGAATTTCTCTTCCTCTTGTCTCCTTGCCCCTTCCAACCACAGCACACACACGCCTCAGCGTCTTCAGCAAGACCCCGGGGAAGCAGGACCGCGCGTGTCCCGCAGCCAGAGCATCGCTCAGGCACGTTTGCAGGGAGCCAGGGTGGACCCACACTGGAGCACAGGGCGCTCGCTTAGCACAGGAAACCCGACAGGCAGTTGGCCGCACATCGTGGTGACTTACTGAACAGAATGTGCGAGAGTCACACTCTGCACCACACAGTGGTCTAAAAGAGCTCTGTCTCGAGGGAGCAAACAGACATGGATTTCTAGGACAAATTACTGAGTGGAAAGAGAGTCCGGATGATGCAGTAGAGTCTTGTGTCCTGTGGGCTTAGAACTTTTGTTTTCTTTTCCTTTTTGAGATGAAAGTTGCTGTGTTGTCCAGGCTGGCCTTGAATTCTTGGAGTTAAGAGATCCTCCTGCCTCGGCTTCCTGAGTAGCTACGCTGACAACCAACATCACACCCCGGCACCTGAGCAGTATAATCCTAGCTGTGAAGGGAGCCCCTTATCTACTCCTGAAACGAAGGCAAGAAAAACATATCAAGCCAGAAAGGTGGTCTAAAAAGACAGAACCAAGCTGAGTTAATACTTTGAGAGGGGTGTTGGGGTGATGCTCTAATCTGTAATAATTTCATTTCTAAAAATGAAAATGGGGGCTGGGGAGATGGCTCAGTAGAATAAGCGCTTGCCTGGCAAGCACAAGGGCCTGAGTTTAATCCCCAGTTCTGTAAGAAAGAAAGAAAGAAAGAAAGAAAGAAAGAAAGAAAGAAAGAAAGAAAGAAAATGGAAGCCAAGCATGTCAGCACACACCTCTAACCCCAGTACTTGGTAGGCTAAGGCAGGAGGATCATGAGCTACACAGCAAGACTCTGTCTCAAAAAAACTAACCAGGCCAGGCATGGTGGCACAGGCCTATAATCCCAGAACTTGGGAGGTTGAGGCAGAAGGATCATCCCAAATTCAAGGCCAGCCTGGGATCCATAGGGAAAACTCATCGAAGACAAACAGACCAAAAAGAAAAGAGAAGAGAAGAAAAAAGGGGCCAGGGATGTAACTCAATGGTTTAAGTGCATGCCTGGCAAGCACAAGGTCCCAAGTTCAATCCCAGGTACTTTTTTTTTTTTTTTTTTTAAAAATTTATTTGTGTGTGTGTGTGTGTGTGTGGCCAGCTCAGCCCACCAGGGGGCAGGGCTGTCTGGCATGTGATGCTGGGGATTGAACCCGGGTCCCCATGCTCCGCTAAGCCTGCTCCAAGTAGGTACTTTAGACCACTGAGCCATCCCATCAGCCCCCTAGGTACTTTAAAAAAGAAAGAAAGAAAGAAAGAAAGAAAGAAAGAAAGAAAGAAAGAAAGAGGAAAAAACATAAGAAGGGCAAGCCAAATAGCTTAGTGGATTGAAGCGCCTGCTTAGGCTGACTGGGGTTCAGTCCCTGGCCAAGCCTTGCCGGCCCCGCCCCCGGGCGCACTGAGACAGCAATTGAGACTGGGTGTGGTGCATCTGTAATCCCAGCTCTTTGGGAGGCTGAACACAAAAGGATCACTATGAGTCCTATCTACGTAGTAAGACACTGTAGACCTTATTTAAAAAAAATCAAAAAAAAAAAAAAAAGAAGAAGAAGAAGAAGAAAAAAAAAAAAAAAAAAAAAAGGAAAGGTAGTCTATCTCTTGAGTCCTGACCAACTCTCTTCTATGGGGAAGCTAAACCTCTCTGTGGAGAAAATGTCATTTCTACCGTTTGCTTCTTGGGAAGAACCCCATAGTAATAACTAGGGCAGGGGACAAAGGGCAAATTCAGAAATTCTGCAAGCGCTAGCTTTAGTTGGAGTGGGGGGGGGATTCTGGGGGGACGATGAATCACGGTGGAGCCAAAGTGACTTCTCCCCACGGAAACCCCGGGGGCAGGAGAGCTGTCCAGTCCCTGTGCAGGCTAGGCTCCTGGGAAGGAGGTCCTGACACACACTGAAAGGGGAGGCTGGAAAGCGGGGACTTGGTTTCGGGAAGCAATGTCATCTACTCGAACGTAAACAACACGGAAGCCTTCGCAGCATTTTAAAGGGATGAGTGTCGCAAGTGCTGGCATCAGGCCATCCTTTCTGTGACGTCCTCCTGTCTTGCTGTGGCCGGCCAGCCTTGGCAGCGCTCCTGACCTTGAGCAGGCTCCTGGACTGCCGGCGCTGCCCTCCAGGGGGCGCCCTTCGGTTCTGCACTTGCTAAACGCCAGGTTATAGGAGCCCTGCAGGGTTGTTCTGCAAACAAACCTGTTCCCACAGGGCTGAATGGGCCCTCCAGGGCAGAAGGAAGCTGTGGCTTTGGAACCTGGCACTGTCACACCCAGAGCCAGACTTCAGTGTTCCTAAAATGAGACTCAGAGAGATGGCACACACTGTTACGAGGTGCCATACAGAGCGGACGCTGTACCCTCCTGGCAGGAGAGTCGTTTTCTCCTCTGACCATTCTCTCTCCATCCTGCTGGTCCTGGGAGAAAGTCTCAGCTTGGGGCTAGTCTGTCTTTCACAGTCCCCTAACATTGCCTAATCTCCCTGTGCTTGAGAGAGAAAGCCTGCAGCAGGCTTAGCCCCGTCCCTGGCCAACAGCACCCAGCTAGACCTGTGCTTGGCAAGTCCACGTGTATTGGCGGTGGACACTTTCCTGCTGCTAAGGCTTTAGTCCACCCTGTGAGTTAAGATGTGCTATGTGCCTGTAACAACTTCCAATGATGAATGTAGTCATTATATACTGCAAACATGTAGTCATAAGCGCCAAAATCTAGAAAAGGGCTAGGGCCAGTGAGATAGCTCAGCAGACTAAGCGCCTGCTTAGGCGAGCACAGGGACCAGGGCTCGATCCCCAGCACCACATGCTGTCCTGGCCCCACTCCCCGCACTCCCATCCCCAGGTGTACTGAACCAGCCATGGAGACCCAGCGTGATGGCACATGCCTGTAATCCCAGCGCTGAGATCTGCTTTTTTTTTTTTTTTGCGGAACCAGGGATTGAACTCAGGCCCTTGCACTTGCCACGGAAGCACATATGCCACTGAGCTATCTCCCCGGCCCCAATCCCAGCACTGAGGAGACTGAAAACAGGAGGATCATTACAAGTCCAAGCTGTGTAGTGAGACCCTGTACCAAATACATTTAAAAAAAAAAAATCTAGAAAAGAGAATCCAGCAGAGAGGCGATTTAATAACAATGTATCAATATTGGTAGACTAGCGGTGACAGATACATCATACTAATATAAGATGTGGCCCGCCACAGAGCAAAAGGATGATGTCAAGATCCATGCAAAGTTCATAGGGCTTCTCTGATTGCCTGCAACTTTTCTGCACATCTAAATCTGCTCTGGGTCAGGGATATAGCTTAGTGGCATAAGTGCCGCCTAGCAAGCGCAAGGTCTTGAGTTCAATCCCTGGTACTACAAATAAATAAATAAATCTACTCTGACACAAAAAGCTTATTTAAATATATTTAATGGGGTTGGGAGGGATAAGTCTGTGAGGTTTTTGTTTTGTTTTGTTTTTGTCTTTTTTCAGACAAGGTCTCTCTAGGCAGTTCAGGCTGGCCTTGAGCTTACCTCGTAGCCCAGGCTGGTCTTGAACTTGCAACAATCCTCCTGCATCAGCCTCCTGAGTGCTGGAATTATAGGTGTGCACCACTGTGCTCAGCCTCTGTGTTTGCTTTGCAACATAAAAATGGAGAGAATAGGGAAAAGACAAATATGGTGAAAATGGTAATAATTGGCCAGTGTGGGTGAGGGGCATGGGGATGTTCTTGTATTGTTCTTTGACTTTCCTGTAGGTCTGAAATTTGTCACAATAAGAAGTTGAGGGGAGGGGCCGGGGAGATAGCTCAGTAGAATAAGCGCTTGCCTGGAAAGCTCAAGGGCCTGAGTTCAATCCCCGGTTCTGACAAAAAAAAAAAAAAGAAGAAGAAGTTGAGGGGAGCTGGGGATTGTAGTGCATGTCTGTAATCACAGCACACAGGAGGCTGAGGCAGGAGGATCCCTGTGGGGTAAGGGCCAGCCTGGGCTACACAGTGAGTTCAAGGATGACATGGACTATATAGCAAGACCCTGTCTCAAAAAAAGAAAAAAAGAAGGGGGAGGAGGAGGAAGAAGAAGAGGAGAAAGAAGAGGAGGAGGAGGAAGAAGAGGAGGAGAAAGAGGAGGAGGGGGAAGAAGAGGAGGAGGAAGAAGAGAAAGAGGAGGAGGAAGAGGAGGAAGAGGAGGATCAATCTAAATGGTAATGTTAAATACACAAGAGCCCAAGTAGAAAACTCAAGCTG